TGGCCGGCGCCCCGGGCGGGCCGCCACAAAGCCATCGGGTACCCCGGCAGCCTGCCGCAGCACCTGGTGATCCCTGGCACACAGTCCCTGCTGATACCGGTCGGCGGCGCGGACGTCGAGCCGTCAGGAGTCGCGCCTGCGATCGTCACGTCGTCTCCCCAGTTTGCAGCAGTGCCTCACACGTTCGTCACCACCGCCGTCCCCAAAAGCGAGAACTTCAGCGCAGAGCCCCTCACCACCCAGCCTGCCTACCAGGCCGCCATGGTGCAGGCGCAGATCCACCTGCCCGTGGTGCAGTCCATCGCTTCCCCCGCCGCCGCGCCTCCCACGCTGCCCCCCTACTTCATGAAGGGGTCGATCATTCAGCTGGCCAACGGGGAGCTGAAGAAAGTAGAGGACTTGAAAACAGAAGACTTCATACAGAGCGCGGAAATTAGCAACGACCTGAAAATAGACTCCAGCACTGTGGAGAGGATTGAAGACAGCCATAGCCCAGGCATTGCCGTGATACAGTTTGCGGTTGGGGAGCATCGAGCACAGGTAATGGCAACGCATGGTGGGGCGTGGGGGGTGGACTGGGGCGCACGCTGCAGCCCCCCGGGTGCGGCGTTCCTCAGCGTGTCTCAGTTGCTTTGGGTCCGTGCGGGGTTGGTTCTTCATCATTCACGTCCATCCGTGAGACCAACTCTGGTCCAAACTCATCCCCCTCACTGTGCCGGGCGAGCCATCAGGGTCACGCCGATGATAAATGTAGTCTCTTGGATATAAAACAGGTCTTTCTTATAGCTGGAGAACCCACAGGAAGAATTACATGATCTTCATGTTTTTTCATTAAAATATAAAACGGGGTAAGCAGTATAAGAGGATATATTTTGTATTTTTAATAGGTAATTTTTACCTTCCACACCAGAAAGTTCAGGTTAGATTCAGCTCAAATGCTACCCTTGAGAGATAGGTAGGGCACAAGGCGGTGAATTTCCATGGCTTGAAAACTTGGAGCTGCCTGGGAATGGCTCCATCACACGCCTAAGTTACTGAAATGCACGACAGAGTTTTACTGAAGCTTCAGTTGCGGGTGGTTTAAACACTGCACGGCTCACATAAACTGTGTGTTCAAGGGAAATTTGGAAAGAAAAACCATCTAGGTGGCTGGGCAGGCTGTGCTGCTGGCCTTTGTTCCTCGTTGGTTCGCAATGTAGGAAGAAACCCTGTAACTTCCCAAAGGTATTTTTAGGTTGAGAATGAGTACATACTGATCATGAAGCGTTATCCTGATGCTGTCCATTTTCTGAGCGATTGAGATTCTGCTGTGTTGAGGCTGGAGTAGTTCAGATATACTGGATGGCATTTTGCTTCCTAGAGGTACTCATTTTCAATAATCTTGTTGCAAATCTTTTTGGTGTGATTTGAGCTCTGCGAACTGCAGCATCTGCAACCCTGATGCTGCACCCTCAGCACGGGAGAACCGGAATGAGAGAGAGGGAGAGGGGAGCTGGACATGGACACGTGTAGTAAAGCACCTCAGGCTGACAGTTTGGAGGAAAAAACCAAACAGTGACGGTACCGAGGAGCTGATTACATGAAAAATTTCTTACAGTTGCAGCAGTCTGTGGCCCATCCTTCCCCAGTTGGGCATACATGGTAAATCGCTACATATGACACGTCCCCTTTCTCATGTCAAACGTGCAATTCCCTGTGTGGTTTTGTTTGTATATGTGCATGGATCTGCACAGCTGATAGGAGTTGGGCCTCTGGTGCTTTCAGTATAAAGATGTGATTTTTTCCTCACTGCTCAACTGTATTTTGGTCCGTCTCAGGCTTCGTGATTAGAGGAACCATCCTTGGATCAGGACCAGTTACTATAATTTGCCCCGGTGCCTTGAATAATGAGATTTCAAAAGCAGCAATCTCCCATCTGCAATTTTCATCTTGCTCTCATTTCTCTCCCTGCAGCCGGGCCACCGGTCTCTGCACCAGCAGAAGAGGTACAAATTAGCAGGTAGCATTTGTGTCATGTCTCGTTCGCAGATCTGTCAACGCAGGCGGTGTGTTGTAGTCCTGGGCGCCGGGAAGAGCGCCTTTGCAGGGGGTGGAGTGCCATCCTCTGGCAGAAAGCAAGCTGAGTCTGAGGCTGTAAAAATCCAGGGCCAGGCACACGGGTCTCAGCCAGCAAAGTGTCACCTTACGGAGAAGCCTATCAGGAGCGGGCTGACATCATCGCAGCCGAAATACTCCCCAGCTGTGTTTCCCACCGGGGATGCTTCCAGAATGGAGGCCGAGTCACGTAGAGATATGATTAGAAACGGGGGTTTAATTTAGGTTTCCTGCAGATTCCAGGACTTGGGTCTCTTCCCAGATCAGCTGTGTCCCTGCATAGCAGGGACGGCTCTGCTGGTTTTCCCTTGCCTGGGTTGAGAGAGAGAGATCGTTTCTACGTGCTTGAAGTCTCCGGTGACCTCACCCTCAGCCTGACGTGGCCATATGAAAGCATTTAGCCTTATTAGCAGGCATGCGGCAGTCATTACTCGTTAGCAGATTGCCTGCGTGAAGAGGGCTTAGTCTTGTCGTTGAAAGAACAGCGTTTAGTCGCGCTGCTTTGAGCAGCGGCACTGTGGTGCTGCTGTACTTAAATATATCTTGACTGTAGAGTACAGTGGGGATATATCTGCGTGTGTAGTGTAGCTTCGCAAAGTATTTTATTACAATTAAGTTTCAGTTGCGTGCAGACTTCCGGAAGGAGGGAGCTTTTCGAATGGTATTATCAAGGGAGTGTAAGTTGCAAAGAGTAAGTGCCATACAAAAATAGCGTTGTTATCATTAGCTTTGGCTCACTTACGTGCTCCTCCCAGGGATCTCTGGGAAGTCGTTATAATACTGATGAATCTGTGTTTTCAGACTCTGTGCAAACATTAACTAATTTTCTCACCAGTTGAGGGACAGAGGTAGGAGATTATTTTTAGCTGAGCATATACAACTGTAATGCAAATAGGGAGGCGCCCTGCAGCTGCTCTTCTATCGTATCGCTGAAAGCCCACAGCTGCCCCTCCCCAGCACAGCACTTGGGCAGAAAGAGGTCGTCCTCCCTCCTTTCCCCGTCTTCCAGTCACCTGGCAAATCCAACCCTCTTCCAGCTATGGAAACCTAGAGGAAAATTAACCCACGTAAAGCTACATGCCTTTTCAGTGAAATAACTGGCCTTAGCCCTGGAGGGATGCTAGGTTTCCACTTCACAGCATCCCTGCTCTGGATTAGGAGGAAGTCAAGTAAGTATCAGCTGGACCAGAACGCAAAGTCCAGCTGTTATTCCTCTCCATTCAAGTTGCCTAAAAGAAAAGGCCCACGGATCTGCATCTCTTTGCAGTTCCACATATTATTCTTGTAATAACGCTTTCATCATTGTTACCTGTCCTTTCTTTTGCTGCCAGGAACAAGCGGAAGCCAGTAATTCATCTCCACTGATGTTAAGGTCAAAACACACAGGAGATGCAGAATGAGTTCTCTGAAATGCTTGCTTTCATCCCTGTGTTTCAGTTCCTTATCATTCCTAAAGTATAGCTTAAAAAGAAAAGATGAACATACAGTTCTTAATTTTCCTTTTTTTAAAAAAACAGAATCATAGTCACTAGAGATGAAAAAGTCCCATTAGAGCGTCTAGTTAGTAGCCCTAACTAGTTTAGTTCAGCGCGTATTTTTTTAGCCCATTATCTAGTTTAGTTTTCCCCTCATATCTCTGCACACACACAAACCAGTTACTTTTTCTTTTACTCCACGGTCCCCTTTTCATTATCTTTGGCACCGTAACAGACACAGAGAGAGAGATGTTGACTCTGTTCGCTGCTGGAGATGGAGATCTCTCCCAGCCTTCCCCTCGTCTGATCCCCGTGCCCGTGTCCCCTGGTCACAGGGGCAGTAAGTCCTTGTTCCTCCGAGTGGTGGGGCGGCTGTGGTCTGTCTTTGGATGTGTGTTACTGAGTTCCGGGAGCGCAGCAGATAAGAGCTCATGTGATAAACCTGGCAGCCCGTGGTCTGGTGGACAGAGGTGGCTTCTCTTGAGAAACGGTGGGGTCACCTGGCTGCGGAGAGCAGTAGCCCCTAGCCTCCAAGCCTTGGGTGCATTTGTTACAGTAACGGTGTACTGAAGATGGGCTAGATACAGCCCTGGGGGGATGGCCACCCAGACCACGTGTCGTGCCGGGTAGTCCCCATGGCATGAGGTGCTCCCGACAGCCCCGTAAATCTCTCGAAGGAAATCCGCTCTTGGGAAGGCACGTGTTGTTCGGGGTGGTGGGAACATCAGGAGTCCCGAAGTCTCTGAGTAGGGGAGGCCGTGTGGGAGCGCGGCACTGCAGAGACTTCTCTTCGCGAGAGGGAGAGCTTCTATTCCACGAATCCACCCGGCTGTGTTTTGGACCCGAGGAGTCTCTCGGCACCCGCAGCCAGGCCTTCAGCGGAGAGCTCCATCACTTAATTGCACATTGTTTCCAGAACCGCATCCTTCTCTTTGTTTCCAGCCTGCCACTCCTAGTTTCATCACGTTTTAATAATATCAGGGAGAAAAACACTTAATTGGAAAATGTATGTTTACATTTATTAAAATACCGTTCACACAAACTGCTTTTATTAGGTCCCTTTTGCCTTAGTGCTTGTTACGTTGATTGCAGCAGCGAGCCCCAAGACTAAAGTTGCTGTGTTTTTGAATGGTGGGAAGGGTATTTTCTGGGCATCAGATCTTCCAGCACCTCTCATTCCAGCTCCAGCCAGGGTTTCCTGAGCAGTCTGAATTGCTGGCCTTACCTTCTGAATTTGGCTGAGAAATAAAATTATAAAAGGTTATAGAATATTGCAGGTATTCAGCGGCTGCACTGAAGAGTTTTGGGTGGTTTTGCTAGTCAGTCTTAAAAAATAGAAATATAAATGTAGCTTGCAGTAGAGCCTCGGTGTGCTTGAAGATGGACCAACATTTTGGTTTCTTGCTTTATCGTCTTAGTAGTTGGAAAACAAGGTCCAAATTTCTTTTTTTCCTACAATAACCATGGCAAGATATTGGGGGAGGGAGCTTTTAAAATTAATTTTTTGTGTTTTAATGCAGCGGTCGGGAAAAAAATTATGCAGGGGTGTTTTTACTGAACTTTCACTCTTAAAAGGTCTTTGGCTACTATTGCTTGTAGGGAATGGTTACCTTAAATCTCAAGTTAGCTGAATCCAGAAGCGGCCATCTAAAACAGGGCATGAGAATCTGTGAAGGAACCCATTTCAAATCGATGGTGGTACATGCACACCATGACTAGATCGTGGAGGTTCGGCATTACACCATCTTTATTATTTGGTGTTATTAATGATCACCACCACCAGTTCTGGGATTTGTTTCAGTGATTGACAGTTCAGGCAAGTGTTTTGGATGCCACGTTTTTTAAAAAAAAAGTATAACGTGCGGTGGAAGTGCGTTCACATCAAGAGGAACTTGTGTGTCGGTGAGGATGATGCACACAAGCATGTATGATTCCCAGAGTTACAAATAGCTTTTGACAAGGATGGGAAAGTAGAAAAAGAAAGAAAAAAAAATACAGCAGGCAGGAAGGAAAAAAGAAAGAGGAGCAACATAGCAATATAAAGGAGAAAGCTGTGTCCCATCAGATGATGCATGCCTGGAGAAGCCTACAGCTCTGTGTAGACATCAGTTTCCATTTAAGTCCATGGGAGATACTGGATATTCACCTCTCCTCCCAGTCAGACCCTTTACTGAGATGCGTATGTATTGGAATAGGATCCCAAACTCTGGGCAAATATTTCTGCAAATCCTGGCGCTGGAGTGTTTATATCCAACGACATGGAGGGGTGGGACTTTCAGGGTTACCTCGCCCCACTTTCTCCATAGTTCAGAGAATAAACCAGGCCTAGAGTCAGGTCCCTTTCCACTATTGCCACATGTGTAGTTGACTGTTGGCAGACAGTTCTGGTCGGAAAAGGTTTAATATGACAGAACCTGATGTAGTGGGGGGTATCTATCTCGTGTCTCTAAACTGCTCCTTTTGAAATTCCTTGTACAGTGGCTTACTGTGTTGGGCAGGGGGAGTGGCAGGATAATACATGCAGTGTTATTCGTTGGCCTAGTTGCAGCAGTACGTAGCATATATTTATGGACTTTATAAGGTTTTTTTCCAACGGAATCAACTGTCTTATAAACTGCAGTTGACTGCCAGTGCATGACATGGGCTTAACCAGTCAGAGGCACGGTCAACATCCGATGGGAATCTTTGGTTTCCTGGTTCTGGAGCCTCTGTCCCTGAGCTGTGGGACATCTGTGATCAAGTCTTCCTGCCCAAAAGGGATGTGGAGCCGGCGGGGTGTGAGGGGAGCTACCTCGGGCCCAGCTTGCAGGGAGGGTGCCTCTGAGGGTAAGCAGCGCTAGCAGGGAAGCGGCAGGGCTGCGAGGTGCCGTACTGTCATTGAGTCCAACCTCTTCTGTGAGACAGGCCATGCAGCTTCATCCCGAGGTTCACACTTAATATTACGAACAAAGGTGTCTGAACGCTGGACTGCAATGTGCATCTCAAACTTCTTCTATTCCTTAATGTTGAAATGTATTTTTAATGATACAGAGCCATGCTTGGTATGACAGTGTTACTCACTCCCAAGGGTGAGAGGTGGTTTTGCAAGCCGGCTGTGATGTTCCTTTCAAGTGTGTCCGTGTTCCTGGAGAGGGAAGGCTCTCCAGGCAGCTGGCATGCTCCGTT